TTTGCAAAAATTATCAGGTGGGGAGTGTGGAAAAATCCCCCAAATGATTTATGTATCGCTGTTAGAGGGCGCTTCACTTCTGAGAAAGAATGTTAGTTTTTCAGTTTGCGACGTAGTTAGTAGTGAACCATCGATGCAATCCAGGTTGCTTTGTAAATAAAATGGTTATTTTTGTAGATTCTTGAAATAATTAGCTTCATTAGAATTAGATCAACCTTTCGCGACAGATATATAGTGATAATCAATAGTCTTGTAGTATCTGCTACATAATCTAGCAAAATGTGGTGATTATGTATTTTTCTGAATAATGTTGAAATGCTTATGATTATGAGTTTTATCTGAAATACTTCAAATGCACTTTTAGAATCTAATCTTTTGCAAAGTCACTGGATTTTGCAAAAAAAATTTTAATGTTACAAATGTACCAGCTAGACATTCATTTACGTTCCTATAAATTAAAATGACAAATTCTGAATAGGTAATAGGATTAAATTATATTTCAGTTCTCAATAAATAAAATTTAAGCTCAGATTTCAACTTTCTTAAGCTAACCTACATTTAAAAAATAGTATCCTCTATTCTTTACTTACAGAACTACTGAAAAAATAGAGAACTGTTGAAATGATAAGCTGCAGTACTGATTATGATTTACTAAACTTTTACATAATATCTGAAACTCTTAAAATATTTTGAAAACATAACTTTTTACGTTCATTGAATTTGGATTCACACTTTATGGAATTTACGGACGCTAGGAAATTCTGCTGTTATTCATGCAACAGCCAGCAGTAAAATCTAACATTTTTAATTTTAAAATTAGTGTAATATAATATTAAATATTCTAGGTTTGCAAGATAGCTATTAACCTTATTACTTTATCTGCATCTATAAACAAATATAACTTTTTAATATTTTTTATGTAATTTACTGATGTAAAGAGACAGAGATAAGTTATTTATACATTTAACTTTATACTGTGTACTATAATTAAAACTCAAGTTCCCCCCTCCCCAATTGTAGAAAACATTTTTTGAAAAATCACATCATTTCTTTAAACACAATACAAGTATTTAGAATATATAATAAACTGCTTCAAAATTTCAATTTAAAAGACAGATAATTAAATAATTAAGAATATAATTATTCATACCTTTCCTTTTTCTACTTTACTGGATGTAGATACATCATCAGAGAAAGCAAAAACAGCATTTTCATCTAATATAGATGGTACAATAGGCGACAGCAATGTGCTGGTCTAAAATAAGAGAATTTAAACAGTTTGAATTAATGATATGCATATTAACCTTGAATTTTAAGCAGTTTTAAATTTGTCAAGTCATTCCCTTATTTTAATCCAGTATATAATTTCTTTTTCAAAGTATCTGACACAAACTGAAATTAAGACAAATAAAATGGCAGTAATCGCAGGATTATCAATTTAACTCTTAACTGTCAATGTTCCACATATGTGTGTACTGATGTTCCATATATTCCCAACGACGACGTGATTTGTTACTTTGTCTTTACGTACAACTTAATGATTTGCTAGTTCATTCCATACCTAAATGTATTTTCATAATTCACTAAAATGACAAAGAAATTAAAAGAAGTGGTGTTAAGATTGTTCTCATCAGAAGAATATAGGGAAAACTATTTTATGAAAATAGAGGAAGAAAACAAAAAGTATGTTCTCGGTCTATGTAATGCAAAAATGCCAAGGACATACAACCAACAAATATTTCTAAGGTGTGAAGAATGGACAATGAACAGTGGGTGGCTGGCTTAAAGAGATTTTACTGTAATGAATACATAGGGCTGTATTAGCTGTTAAGTAATAAGCATGAGCTTAGGGTATCAAGGAAAAGGGGTACCACAAAAAAGTCCTTAGGTATTCACATTATTTGCAAAATTTAATGTTATATAGTACAAAGTCCGTAATCTGGACGTCCATTATCCGGAATGATCTATAATCCGGATCCCAAAGCCACAAACTTACACATGCGCGTTAAGCCAGTAAAGCATTTACCCATGCATGCTTCCGATAGTGAAGAAAGTAACAGAGAATGTTATTATCGAAAACAAAAAAATTGTGATTGACAAGTTAGTCGGTATTCTCGACACAGCAATTACAGGACTTGAACAGTGGAACTTTGTAACTGAACAAGAAATTATGTCTGTTTATAGAATTAAAGAGAAAGTATTAGCACAAAAAACGAAGCAACTTAAACAACTTACATTGAAAGAAATGTCTAATAAAGTAAACAAATAAATATTAAGTTTTTTTTTTTTTTTCTTTTTGCAAATTTTGATACCCTTTAAATCATAATTGCTCTTTATTTCATAAATTATGGTTTCATATTTTTAATTGCATAATTTCCACATGCTACCTTACCAGATTTAACCCTTTCAGGATGGGCGTCCCATATACGCATTCCCTAAGAACGTCTCTTACAGCCGGGCGTCCCATCCACGCATCGCTAGAGGTCGCATTTAGAGGACGGGTGATGCGTATACGCACTTTAAGTTGGAACGTTTTTCTGAAGGCTACTAGATGACATCTTATGTCCATCACTTTTGAAATGAACACAGTTTTATGTTCCTGACCTTGAATTAGATATATTCTGCTTGAATTTGGTATTTTACTCATCAGCTCTTGCGAGGGGGGGGAAAGCGTAAACAGAGGTGAGCTCTTTAAATTGCTGCATGCTAATGAAAACATTTGCACGTCTGATTTATATCAAATTCCTTTTTTTTTTCTATTTTTTTCCTTTACTATGCACGATCTTTTAGGGTTAGTATGTGGAGTATTGTTACGTTTTGCATTGCCTTCAGATGTATTTCCGTTTCTTCTCTTTTTATTTTGGAAAGCCTCACCTCCAGTCTATTATGGCGGGAAGGGGCCATTTTATAGAGGAAGAATACCCTCGCATAGTCAATGAACCATTTATTAACGCACATGAGGGTGATGATTCATTTTTTAAAGAGTTAGAAAGTGATACTTTTTCTAAGAGTTAGAAGTGATACTTTTCCGTGCTTCGAGATTTAACACACTCAGTCTTCATTTAAAATTTTGTTACTTCTTACTGTAAGTAGTCTTTATTGTGTTGTTTTATTAATTTAAAAATTTATTGATGGATTTTATCAATTAAAACTTTGGGATAATTTGAATAGAGCTTCTGAAAATTATTTTACAAGATAAGCAATATTTTAAGTATATTTTCATGTAAAATAAAGAAAAAAACTTTATTAAATGCTAATTTTAACAAATATAAGAGCTCAAGTAATAATCTAAAATGATACCAAAAATTACGATGCTAGAAGCGAAAATTTTTTTTCTGATTTTTTTAAATAAAATTAGGCTTAGCGATGCAAAACCTCCGCCCTGTACGGTGACTGCATTCGATTCCCTTCCGTCCCGCATGAGCGTCTTAAACAAAGGTGCGCTGTCACGAAAAGGTTAAATTGATGATCTATAACACGGAAAAACCCCTAATCCGGAATCGCTGAAGTTCCGACGAGTCCGGATTATGACTTTGTACTGTATTTATATTTGTTTTTAGACCATAATTAGTTTTTATTCATTTGGATACATAAAGTCCAAGTGCACAAAATAATATATTGTTGTGTGGGGATGGGTCCATATTAGACTGAATGCACTCAGAACCAATGATAGTTTGATAAAATTTTATTTTACCAAAAAGGAACACTCACAGTTCTGGAATTTTCCACCAAAATACTCATACAAATACTTGCTTCATAGTATCAGAATATAATAAGTAATTACACTTCAAACTACTACTAAGAACATTAAATACAAGGTAATACAAAGAGCATCTAAAGAGTGAACCTCATACAGAGATATCTCAATACTCCAAACTCATGCTGAACTAAACAACTACTACTGAGAAACCAATGCGCTTCCCTGATTTGGTATATTTTTCTCCTGGCTGCTGAGAGATTTCAAGTACCTTCCACTTCTTGAAATTACTGACAAGCATACGAGGGGCAGATACAATTACAGTTATTCAGTTACAATACCCATTACAGTTATACAGGGATCAGACAAAAATGCCACCAAGTTTGGGTATTTCTTGACAAATTTGTCAACAAAAATTAGTCACCAAAAACCATCATCAGCTTGGCGATATCTCGCCAAGAAATTTCAGGGCCGGATTTAGACTTGATAAGACTCTAAGCTATTTGCGATATGGGCCCTTTATAAGTCCAGACATTATATGTCAGTACCAAATATGATTTTCAGATACCCACAGGTTTTTTTGGGGGGCCACCAAGAAAGCAGGGGCCATAAGCTATAGTTTGTGTAGCTTATACGCAAATGCTGCACTGAGCCATTTACTCAATGTTAAAAAGACTTGCTCTCTATATTCTTATTTCTCCGGCAAAGCTTCACTTCTTCAGATTTTCATGTTATATTACACAAAAGATACTAGACATATAATTTCATTAAAATTACTTATATATGTACAAAATTCTTAATAATATGGTGTGAGGATTTGGATACAAATCACACTTAACACGTTAAGTTATTTACACATTTCACATGCCTCCACACAAAGAGAAAGAATAATAACAAATTTAAAATATGAAGCTTTACAGAGAGATCCAGCTGCTTAAAATTTGCTTTAAAAAATAAGAAGTTATCAAGTAAAAAAATGCAGACTATGCCTCTTTATCAAGTTCATCTTAGGTGAGTCAAGAAATTCATTACTTTTAAATAAAATAGTGATAAAGTTTAAAGAAAATGATATTTACATGATTAAAACTTCGATCAGGGGATCCATTCACTTTTTTTGTCAGAAAAGAATTCGAGTCATCATCTGCATTATCTGGTTCTCTTTTGCGCTTCTGTTCACGTCTGCAATGAAACACATTAATTACAAATCAGAAAGTTTTAAACACTTCTAATTTGTGTATGTATGCATGTGTACATACAAACATGAAGGAAAAGCTAAAAATTAATTTACATCTAACTGGTTGAAGGAAAAATGTGTTTGCAACAGAAAGCCAAAAATTTTAACACTAAAAGAGGTAAAACACTTCCTGATTTAAAAACATTTCCTATAAATGGTGCAGTTTGTAATAGGACCAATAAAAACAAATTTACTTGGTGAGAATTAACTAAAAGATTTTGTTTAATATACATGATTAAACAGAGTTCCTGCATTTGAACTGACATATAAAGCTGAAATCTTCATTATGGAGATATTTATCAATACTAGGTTTGTTCATATGAAACAAACATCTAATTGCCTATGGCAAAGCATGTGAAAATTATCTGCATTGAATAACCTGCCATTACCAAGGACTAAAATTTATGTTACAGAGATAAACAAAACTGTAAAAAGCCAACTCCCGCATCATGAAGCATTATTAACATTATTCTAAGGTTTTTTTTCCATTTTCAGTTTAAAATGTTTTTTGAAAGTGTCAAAAATTCATGACTAGGGTTGTGGAATGTTTTCTTATATGGCAGAACATGATTTCTCAAGAGGTCTACTGCACCTTTACATCTTCATCCCTCCTACTGACCAAGCTGTATATATACAAAAACAATATTGTTGCGTGCGTACGGGTTCGTTATGAAATGAATGCACAAATCCGATGAAAAAAATGAACAAAAATTTATTATTATCACAACAAAAATGCTTAAATTTTCTCAAATTATCACGCAGTATTACAATATCTCACAGTAGTTTCTTTTTTTAACTACTCAAATGTCCAATAGAACGTAATTCAAAACAGCTAAAGAACGCTAATCCACGAATTCGCTACAATCAACAACAGTAGTTTTTTTTTTTAAACAACAACAAACTAAGCAACTGCTGCAAACTGAGATGTTTTCCTCCTTTTATAAGATTTTAAAATCACGCGCTAGAATTTTCCAGTACTTTCTCGAAATCAAAAAGAGATATTTATTTATTTAATGCACGCGCTCTTGTATTTTCAATTTTCGGCTTAGCTTTCTTTTAATATTCGTCACACGCGCTGCACTGCGCGAGAAATAAAACCAATTAATTTATAATTGAACTAATATTAGCTTTTTAAATACCAAATTCGTAACACTGCCCCCTTCCCAAGGACTGCACGTCCCGGGCAGTACAATCCCTGGACAGGAAGCTAAATTTACAACTGTGGCATAAACATTACATTACAATATCAAACAATATAAACAATAAATGCAATAACTAACTTGAACAAATCAAATGCTATCAAATACTAAATACAAAACAAATATTAAATACAAATCAAATACTAAATGCAAATCAAATACACATTTATAAACAAAAAGGACCATGGTCTTATACTATTTACAATTATTTACATTATGTACTATGGCCATAGTAATGTGCTAACCTGTCGTAATGAACGACTTTAGGTTTAGAGTTCGATGACTTACGAATCCGAACCACGACGTCATTCAGCCTGTTTAGGACTGTGTACGGGCCATCCCAAGGTGACTGTAATTTCGAACAAAGTCCTTTCCGTCGAGTCGGATTCCACAACCACACCTTGTCTCCTTCGTGGAATTGATGTTCAGTAGCTCTTGTGTTGTATCGGGTCTTCATCTTCTCCGTCGCCAAGTTGACTCGCTCTCGTGAAAGTTATGCATCACTTCAAACCGGGCCTGGAGATCTTGAATATATTCCTCAGACGATGAAGGAGCATCCGGAGGGCGGCCAAACAATAGATCACAAGGCAGACGAAGGTCACGACGACCGAAGAGCATTTGTGATGGAGAATAGCCGGTAGTCTCGTGGACAGCACTGCGGTAAGCCAGTAAAAAGAGTGGTAATTTCTTGTCCCAGTCCTGTTGGTTTCTGGAAACCACTAATGAGAGGTTATTAAGGATGGTTCGATTGAACCTCTCTACCATGCCGTCCGACTGGGGATGCAATGGCGTCGTTTGAGTTTTGTCAATGCCGAGTAGTTTGCATAGATCTTCGATTACTGCCGAGGTAAAATTCCTTCCCTGATGTAACTGAAGAGGCACTCCGAACCTGGAAATCCAGTGCCGTATCATTACCTCAGCTACTGTGACAGCCTCTTGATCAGGAACAGGGTACGCTTCAGGCCACTTGGTGAAGTAATCAATGACAACGAGTATGTATTTGTTGCCATCAGCAGTTCGTGGCAGAGGTCCTAAGATGTCAAAGGTGATACGTTCAAAAGGCGCCCCTACGTTGTAACGTTGCAGCTTGCCTCGGATGCGTCTCTTCGGTCCTTTCCGACCTGCACAGGCATCGCAGGATCGGCACCACTTTTGCACGTCATCCTTTGCATTATTCCAGTAAAAGCGCTCACGAACTCTCTGTAAGGTCTTCATTATTCCAAAGTGACCTCCCGTAGGGCTGTTATGTAGTTCTTTAAGGACATCAGGAATGCGGGATCTTGGAAGTATCAGCTGCCATCGGAACGTCTTCCCATCATCCGATTCAAATTTCCGGTATAAGACGCCGTTTCGAATGTGAAGTGAATCCCAGAGTGCCCAATACTGTTTGGTTGTAGGACTACAGATAGAAATGTCCTGCCAGGTAGGTTTTCTGGTTGATGACTCCATTAAATCAATTATCGGTTTAATGTCGCGGTCTTCCAGCTGGTCTTTCCTGACTTCATCATCACTCACGGTTCTCGATCAGCCGATGTTGATGTTGTAATTAATTTGTCTTGCGACCGGAGTCAGCAGCTCGTATTTCGCTTCCACCCTGGAACAATATCGGCAGCTTTCTTGGGCAAGATCTTCTAGACAGGGCGTCGGCGATTCCGTGTGATGATCCCTTACGATGACGGATAGTGATGTCATATTCTTGGAGTCTCTGTATCCACCTGGCTATTTGACCCTCAGGATCTTGAAATTTAAAAGCCAGGTCAATGATGCATGATCGGTGCGGAGCAGGAATTTTCTGCCATATAGATAGTGATGGAACTGTTCTACGGCTTTGACTATGGCGAGGCAACTCTTTCCTGGTGACACAATAATTCCTCTACGGTTTAGACAGGCACTTGCTCCAGTAGGCCACTACACGTTTCTTGGCCGTCTATTTCTTGGGACAAAACAGCACCGACACTTTCATTGCTCGCGCGGTGTCAAGAAAAATGGTCGGTCGAGCTGAGGATACGTCAGGATTGGAGCAGATGTTAAAGCCTCCTTTAAGTTGTTAAATGCATCCTCGCATTCTTTTTGTCCACAAGAATCTTTGCTTGCTCTCTGTTTGATGACTCCATTAAATCAGTCTATGCGATGGAAGAATCAGTCCTTCACGAATCTCCTATAGTAGGTACAAAGCCCTAGGTAAGCTTCTCAGCTGATGGAAACATTTTCAGGACGTTTCCAGGATTTAACCGCTGATACCTTTTCAGGATCCGTGCACATACCTTCTGCCGAGATGACATGTCCGAGGTAAGTCACTTCCTGTCTGAATAATTTGCATTTAGCGGGACTCGAGCTTCAAATTGGCTTCTTTCAGTTTTTGAAGCACCTTTCTAAGATTTTCTAGAATGTTTGTCAAAACTCTTTCCAACGATTATGATGTCCGTCCAGGTATATCAGACAGGCTTCATAGGAAAGACATTTCAAAACACTCTCCATGAGGCATTTGAATGTTGCCGCCGCATTACACAGTCCAAACGACATCACCTTGAATTGCCAAAGCCCTTGTCCCATAGTAAATGCCATCTTTTCTCGGTCATCAGGATGTATTTCTACCTGCCAATACCCACTCTTTAAATCAAGTGTTGAGAAGCACTTGCTTCCAGAAAGAGCGTCTAGAATGTCGTCAATTCTAGGAAGAGGGTAACTGTCTTTCTTCGTAACCTCATTCAAACCGGCGATAGTCAACGCAAATCTTGTTGAGCCGTCTTTTTTTCTGACGAGAACGATGGAGATGCCCATGGACTCGCTGAAGGCTCGATGACATCGCCTTCTTCCATATCTTTTAACAGTGTGCACCTCTTCCTGTTTAGCAAACGGTAGACGTCTTGGATGTTGCTTGATCGGGGGATGATCGCCGGTATCTATTCTATGTTGTGTCAAACTAGTTCGACCCACGTCAGAAGACGAGCAGGAGAAAACAACTTGAAGATCTTTGATGACGCGATCGGCAGCATTCTTTCTCTTCATCGTTCAATTGCGCATTCTGCAATAACTCCGATGTAATGCCCTCTGATGAGGACACGGATTCTTGGATATTGCTCTTTCTTTCAACGCTGGTTACTGGAGTACATGCTGCACCACGTCGCCTTTTCTTAATAAGTCTCGCCTTCTCAGTTACATTGGCAAATCTCCGGGATAACCATTCTCGATAGGTCGACGAGTGTTGAGGCTACTAGTACTCTTTCGGGCTATTACAGTTATTGGGATATTCTATGATGCGTAGCGGAAATCTCTGTTTTCGGCTATAGATCCAGGGAGTAAATTTCTGTTCTTGCGGTATTGTGATATGTCTTGTGCTATGATTCTGTGGACAGATTTAACTTCTTCATTATTAATTCCAAATAACGTTATGTCCTCAGACGCAGAATGCAATTCGTTATTTTTAAAGTCCAAGGAAAAATGTATTTCCTTAGAAAGTCCAATCCGAGTATGCAAGAATCAGTGATCCTGCTACATATGCCGTGTGATGGTAAGCGGCACTTCCAAACGTGATGTTAACATTTACTTTCCCATTGATGTTGATCTTCTCACCGGACACAGTCTGTAGGGTAACGCAGGGCGGCGTCCAGATAAGTTTGCTTTCCAGTTGTTGAGCCAAATCTTTTCGGATGATGGTAACGTTGGCTCCTGTGTCTATCGTCATATTGCAGGGGACTCCGTTAATATGTCCTATTATGAAAAGTCCATTACTGCCGCCTCTCACT